CAGTACGCGCGTGCGCAGAAGAAACGCGCCGAAGTCGGCGTCGGCTGCTAAGCTGTTTCCCCAATCACGACCCACCCCTGGCGCGACGCCCACCGCTTGCTCCACCCCATAAGCAGCGGACCTAGTAATCAAAGCGACACACACGGTACGCAAACACGAACAGCAGCCAGTAGGAAGGACACCGACACGAGCTTAGTCAGCGAACGAAAAGACAGACACAAACTTCACTCTAGGCAAACAGAGCAGGGGTAGTTACAAGGATGAGAGGCGTGCGCAGACGGAGGTAAGCAGTGCACAATAAATACGCGAAAACTCGCAGCAACCGAAGAACCACGCAGTAAACACGTACGTGCACACGCACCAGAAGCACGTGCGTCACGCTGCGTATCTACGCGGAACTGGCGATTTTGGCATTTCGGTTTGAAACTTTGATATCGATTGCGTGAACATTTTATTCAGCAAACTGAACCGGTGGAGCCTCGCATAAAAAAAAAAATCGTTTGACAATATGAAAGCGACTGAAATTCTTCCTAAAAACTATATTAGCAGAAAGTACCGTGTTATAAAGGACCTCACGAGTTTCGACCAAGTTTTCCAGCACGTTATTTTCCAAAAAACGGAAGAAGCCAAGTGTACAACCAGTTTCCGAAGCTGGCAACCACAGCTGGAATCAGCGCCATCCTCGGCAGTTTCCTGAACCTCGCGTAGTCACATTTCAGCCACCGCCACATAGAGGGCGCAACCAGACATCCAATTTGTGTTTTCTGTATGTTTTATGATTTGTTTTAATAAATAGGCTCGATTAGTGAAAATGCGGGCTAATAATCAGGACCTGGAACAGTAATCTTCATTTAATACTAAAAATATCGGCCTAAATGTCTGCCAAAAAGGGTCAAAATACTCGGTTTTGACTATCAACAAATTCGTGATTTCGCCTATATTCAAACTTTTTTTATGGAGACTCAAAGGTGAAATTTAGAAAAAGGGCCTCTAATGACAAAGCAGAATATGTTTTTCTTTGCAGGTCTACAATTTTATTCAAATGTGCCAATCCCTAAGGGCTGTACCACTGTACTACCAAATGAAGTTTGCCAAAAAAAACTGTTTTTGTCACTTTTCACGTGAGCATTCCGAAAAAAGTTTAGGCCATATTACAATGAAATTTAGCGTAGCTCTTTCTACCATAGTTGCAAACACATGTAAAAGGTTCCAAATAAAATGACCGAGCAGGCGGCCAAAAATCCGCGACTGAATGTGCTTCCGCGAGGTACATTTTTTAAAGTAAATATCTGTCAAAGTAAAATGAAAAACGAAAAAAGGGCCTCTAATGACAATGAACGCACTCTTCTTCTATAACATTCTAAAATTTGAAATAAATTGCTCCAATTGTGCACCCTGTACCACTGTACTACGAAACCATGTTTTGCCAAAAAGGCCAATGTTCGCGGGTGCCCACTGAATTAGCGTTTTGTACTAGGAAAACAAATCCTACATCAGAGGAAAGATAATGTTGTACAGGACAAGATGATATATAACACATAATTTTAGAAAGCTTGAACACGCCACAATCGCATTTCGAAAACGTGCGGAAAGCGTCATATGTCATGGCCGCCGTGGGACCGCAGCCTTAAAGGAGAAGCTTAAGCGTCCCCAAAGTTGTTCTCTTAGTTACATCTAGCGGGAACACGTAGAGTGATTGCAAGCTGTTTGGGTTTAGAGGCATCAAATGGAAATTTCAAAGGCGAACAGAGGTCACCTTTCTTCCGTTCGGCTTCATTTTGGAATGTTCGCTTCTGCCACACGCCGGCGGTTTCAGATTCCTAACGGAAACAGAGCTTCTCTATCAAACAATAAGCTCTCATCATCTTAATTCAATTCTGAGACGCGCTACTAATCCGAATCGGAGGAGCCGGCGCTCCAATAGACCTATAGGGAGTATTCACTGGACGCCATATTTGTTAGTGCCGTTTCGAGCGCATGCTCAGACCGAGCTTACATTAATAGGTTGCTAAGACCGGCAATCTACGTGGTGTGGAATGCACGTGGCAAAAGAACTGTGGAAGCTGGCCGTTAGCACGCGATCAGCATTCGCGCACACGGCTATGGCCGCCAGTGAATACTCCCTATAGGGAGTATTCACTGGCGGCCATATCCGTGTGTGCGACTGCTGAGCGCGACCTGATGGCGAGCTTCCACTGTTCTTTTGAAACGTGCATACCAAACCATCAAGATTGACGATCTTAGCAACCTATTAATGTGAGCTCGTTCTGAGCATGCGCTCGAAACCACACCCACAAATATGGCGTCCAGTGAATACTCCCTACTGCTAAATTACCCGAGCATCAAGGAGAATGCAGAGAATGGTGTTCCACGCGCCGCACGCGCAAATAAATAACCAAAATAAAGCGTTGACGGACGCGTGTGCAACATGCCATTTGTTTTAGGCATTTTCTTTAGAAGAGTTACTGCTGCAGACGCCAGTACGTGCGATGCCTGGAACACCATTCCCTGCATTCTCCTTGATGCACGGGTAATTTAGCAAGAAGTCTTTAGGCCTATTGCTAAATTACCCAAGTATAAAAAAAAATGCAGGGAATGGTGTTCCAGGCACCGCACTGCACGCCTTCCCAGTATAAAAGGTTCGAAGTAAACAACCAAAATAAAGCGTTGACGAACGCGCGTGCAAGACGCCATTTGTGCAAGATGCCTTTTGCTATAGAACAGTTACTGCTGCAGACGCCAGCACGAGCGCCGCGTGAAACACCATTTGCTGTATTCTCCTTGAGGCTTGGGTAATTTAGCAATAGGTCTATTGCCACTCCCGCCAGTACAGACAACATGCGAAGGGGCCATCTGGCACGGATCAGGAGCGTAGAGCGTCTAGTTTTAGAGCGCAGTTCTTAGGCGCCCGTTTCCGGCTTGAGCGGCGTCGGCGTCGCCGTCGGCGTAACCAAGGTCACCCCAAGGTCACGTGACCCCTCTCAAGGTCATCCCAAGGTCACGTGACCCCGGAGGTCACGTGACCCCCCAAGGTAACGTGACCCCTCAGGTCATGTGACCCCCAAGGTCTCGTGATCCCTCCCAAGGTCACGTGACCGCCAAGGTCTCGCGACCCCCGAGATTACGTGGCCCCCCCTCCCCCCGAGGTCACGTGACCCCCTCCCCCCGAGGTCAGGTGACCCCCCCGGAGCATACTAAAGAATGATGGGAGGAGGAGGAGAAGGAGGAGGAGGAGGAGGGGTCTACCCTCCCCTCAGAACCTTTCCCTACTCCTCCTCAAGAGCTGCGCTCCAATTCGGCGTTACAGGGAGTTGTAAACGGCTTTCACTTTTTTAAACTATAAATACACCAGCAAAGCGGAACACAGTGCGAATATTGTCACGAATTAATGCGATGAGAAGGCGAACAGTGAACTGAAAATAAAGGTTTAATGGGCGAACTTGTGCCAACAAAAAATAAGTAACGAAAGAGCGTCGAGGCAGCAGAAAAGCAGGCGGCGATTCGGCGGCGAAACAAAGAGCGCGAGCGAGACTGATGGTGTATTCGGCTGGTCACTTTCGAGCGCTCCAATCATCCGAGTCGGAGCTACCAGATCCCGGAGCGCCTCCGCATCGGAGCGAGAGAATCGGCGCGCCCAGCCGAACGCTCCTCAACTTTTCGGAGCTGCAAGCCGAGCGGATAGAGGGTGGCCTGCGCCACTAGAGGATGGCGCGAGCCGCCCTCTAGCGGAACTTTTGCTTCTCGGATTCAATGGGTTCAGCAGTATTCAGTCATCCATCCATCCGTCAATCCTTGAAAAATGGTAGCCCTCAACGCGGACGCTGATAAGGTCATCGCAAGCCAGCCGTGCCAAGCGGAAGTTCCTGCGAAACTATAAAAAAAGACAGCATTACAGCTTGAAAACTCCCGTACTTTTGTTCTTACCGCTTTGTGCGAGTAAGTTCGCACTATAGAAACATAGGCCTTGACCTTGGGCACCGTACAAGGTGCGTCAAACAACTCGGCAAACTTCGCTTCGTAAACACGGCCCTCGTCGTCGTCGTCCGAGCTGCTGGTGTTGTCGCTGTCAGCTAGCTTCGCCAGCAGCACTGACGGTGCCCCCCCTAACATTAAACGTCTTCGTTTCAACAACATGTCACCTCAATTCGAGCAGCACAACACAACGGTGACGGCGTCGAGACCGACGGCTGTTTTTCGCACACCTTTTTCTGCGGAGTAGTTGCGTTCTCGCTGTCCGCTTCCGACACAAACGCAAAATGGCGGAATGGCTGGAGTCACGTGACCGGTCGGCAGCCAGATCTCTCGCGCGCTCTGACTTCCAAGTCAGAGCGCCTCAAACCGCTCCGATTCGGAGGACGGCGAGAGTCGGAGCTTCAAGAGCGCTCCGAAAGAACCTGCCGAATATACTTGGAGCGCCTGGCATCGACCAGGGACTCTAAACTCGTCATACACAAAGTTGGGAACGAAGTTGACGGAGCGCACCGATTGGTCTATTACGACGATGACTTCGCGGTTTTTTCGCCGAAGTCCAATCGGCGCGCTCCGTGAACTTTCGGCTCCAACTTTGTGTTTCACGAGTTTAGAGCCCCAGGCGAATGCGCACCGGCTTTTCAGAGCGCTCCAAGAGGCTGAAAAGCGACCACCCGAATATACCATGAGACTGACTCAACAAGGTCGCGGGCAGCTGCTTATCTACCGTGCGTCACTATCTCGAAAGTGCGGCAAAGAAGGTTTGAGCGTCGCGCGCTCGGGGCGAGGATGAACTGGCACTTACGAGAATAACAAAGCAGAGGGAAAGTTACGTCTGCTGCGAGAATGACCGGGAATCTTCTAGAAGACCGTGACCAAGCGTTGCCTTCTCGGCTCTGCGGGCGGCAATATAATGATATAACGGCAATATAACGTTTAGGTAGGAATTTTCAAACGAGTAATCACCGCCGTACACGGAGGGCGATGACCGTCGAAGGGATAAGAACGGGAGAGGCACACGGGCGACTCACCTTCGATCACAGTGAGCACGAACAGGGCCCGGGCAGGTTCGCCAACACCATTATCGGCGAGGCATTCGTAGGTGGCGTTGTCCCTCCCCGTGCGGGTGGGGTCAATGCGCAGCACCGAGCCCCCGGGCATCTCGACCACCATGTGGCGGACGGTGGATATCCGCTCGCCATTCTTACGCCACTCGATCTGCGGGCGCGGGTTGCCCGCCGCCGTGCACACAAACACCGCCACCTGCCCAGTCACCACCGTCTGGTCCCGGGGGAAGATGACGATGCTCGAAGCATCTGCGCCGGGGGAGAGAGAGGGGGGGAGGCGTCGGGAAAACGTGAGTCACTGTACTGCCGATGTCTTGCCGTTAGCAAGAAAGCGGCATGCTATATTTTGTTTCACCATAACTTGGGAACAAGGGGGGTCAAGACGGGAGCTTGTCAAGATGGAAGTACGTGCGAGTTGGCGATTCACAGCAGGAGCAGCGCAAATATACAAGGACAAGAACGTAGGAGACACATAGAAGGACAAACGACTACTTTGCGAAAGGGCCAATGTGAAGTGTATAGACTTTACGGGCGTTTTTTTTTTTCGTTTTATTTGTATCATGATATTGTCACGAATGACAATTGATGAAGCGAGTAAAACTGAAGCAAACTAAACGTTTAATGGGGCAAACTTGTGGCCAAAACAAAATTTAAAAACAAAACGGCTAGCGTCGGGCGTCCTGGCTCCCATCGTCACCTGGTTCGTGAGGCAGCATCGCGTCGAGCATGGTCGTTACTTTCCAGCCATGCAAAGCTGAAACTCCTGTGGTCTTTCGTACCGCCGTGTTGTAAGCAAACGTGACATAGGGTGACACCTCGTCCCACGTCTTGTGCTCGACGTGGACATACATGGAGATCATGTCGGCGATAGTTTTGTTTAGCCGTTCTGTTAGTCCATTTGTCTGCAGATGGTACGCAATGACTCGACGCTGGCTGGTGCTACTGAGACGAAGAATCTCTTGTGTCAGCTGGGTCATGAGTCGGGTGATCCACGGTCTGTAATGAGGACTCCGGAGGCGCCATGCCGGAGGATAATGGACTCGATGAAAAACTTGACAACCTTAACAGCCGTACCTGATAGAAGGGCTTTCGTCTTGGTGTACTGTTTGAGATAATCGGTCGCAACGATTATCAATCGGTTTTCTTGCGTCGATGGTGGAAACGATCTAAGTAAATCCATTCCGATTTGCTGGGATGAGGCATATGGCGGTGCAGTAGGCTGAAGAAGTCCTGCCGGTCTCGTCGGTTGTCTCTTCCGTCGTTGACGCTCGTGCAAGATCGGGTGTAGTGATGGACTGTCTTCGCAAGCTTGGGCCAGTAGTACTTCTCGCGTATCCTCGCAAGGGTCCTGCTGTAGCCAAGGTGTCCCACCGTCGGGTCATCGTGGCAAGCCTGAAATATCTCTTCTCGAAGACTGGAATAGATCACCAAGAGCCACGCCGTATGGTTGTCGCTGAAGTTCTCCTTGTAGAGCACACCTTGTCGGATGCAGAAGGTTGGCAGTGTTCGCATGAAAGCGCGGGCAACTGCATTTCCTTGTCCCGCTGGGGGATCAATGAGTCCTCGCAGTTCAGGGTCATCTCTTTGGAGCGCTGCCGTGTCACTGACATCTAGTGCGCCGAGGAAACACTTGCCGTCGTCGTCTTTCGTGCAGGCAGGACCGGGCTCGACGGGGACCCTTGACAGGCAATCGGCATCACTGTGCTTTCGGCCGGACTTGTACACCTTGGCCATGTCAAACTGCTGCAGCCGTAGACTCCACCGGGCGAGGCGTCCTGAGGGGTCCTTGAGGTTTGCGAGCCAGCAGAACGAGTGGTGGTTTGTAACTATTCCAAACGGACTTCTGCGCAAGCACGGGCGAAACTTTGTGATAGCCCAGACGACGGGCGTGTCATTTTTTTCTCCGTCATTGAGTAATTACCCCCTGCCTTAGACAGCGTAAGACTTGCATGGGTGAATATCCCCTCTGTTCCCATTTGTATTTGTACCAGCACCAAGCCCCGTGTTACTTGCGTCTGTGTGAATTTCTGGTTGTACATTCTGGTCGAAATGGCCAAGGACGGGAGGTGTTTGAAGTCTTCGTTTAAGCTCGTCGAACACCCGCTCGTGCTCTTCTGTCCACTTAAACTTTACGGTGCCTGTAGTCAGGTATGTCAGCGGCGCAGAAAGCTTCGCAAAATATCGAAGGAACCGCCTGTAGTGGACATAGAGGCGAAGGAATTTTCTTACGGCCTTTGTGTCCAACGGTGGGGAAAATGTGGCTACGGCGCGAGCCTTCTCAGGCTCAGGAGAAGCATCCTCGCTACTCACGACGTGGCCTAAAAACTTGAGCTCACCGTAAGCGAACCGACATTTCTTTGGCTTGAGAGTTAGTCTAGCGGCCTTGGTGGCTTGAAGTACGGCACGGAGTCGTCGAGGTGCTCGTTGAAGTTGCTGGGGAGAACACTACAACGTCGTCGAGGTAGACGAGACAGCTCTGCCATCTTAAGCTTGCTAGCACGGTGTCCATGACACGCTATAAGATCGCCGGCGCTGTGCATAGACCGAAGGGCATCACTTTAAACTCGCACAGTCCGTCGGGCGTGACGAAGGCAGTTTTCTCCCGTTCCGGTTCATCAACCTCGATCTGCCAGTAGCCACTCTTCAAATCTATCGACGAAAAGTATCGAGAATGACAAAGACGGTCTAGAGTATCGTCGATGCGGGGGAAAGGGTAGACGTTTTTCTTTGTCACAGCATTAAGTTGACGATAGTCAACACAGATTCTCAGTGTTCCCTCCTTCTTCTTTACGAGCAGAACAAGGTGAGACATATGGACTTCTTGACGGCTGAATGATGTCATCATCAAACATTTCCCGAACCTGTTCTTGTATGACTTACCGCTCTTTCAAAGAGACACGGTGCGGTGACTGGTGGACTGTGTGCACATCGCCGTCAGTAACAATGCGAAGTTTCGCTACTGGTGTTTGGCGAACTTTCGGCGACGTGGCAAAACTATAACTGAATTCAGCGAGGAGATCAACAAGTTATCGGCGCTTTGGAGCTGGGATTTCGGCGTTGATGTTGAGCTGCGGCGGCGACGTGCTCTTGCGCTGTGACGACGAGGCTTCCTCATAGAATCCGGTGACCACGGCTGATGCTTGAAGCTCCTCGATGTCACCCACGGTGGTACCCTTCGTTAGGTGCTGCAGCTCCTCTCGAACGTTTGTCACGAGAACAGCTGTACGTTCTCCTTGGAGATCTGATACGCCTAGCGCGACGCCAATTACTTTTTCAAGGAGGAGTTGGACGCTGCCTTCCAGAAGAGCCTCACCGCACGTGGCTGCGTCGGTCTTGACGGCTACTAAATCACTCGAACGCGGCGGCAGGTTCACATGGTCAGCAATAACTTGGATCGTGGTTGGTCTCCACCGGCAGCGAAACAGGCTTTCGCAGCGTCAACTGGTTTGCCCCGAGGTCGATGACGGCGCCATACTCGCAGAGAAAGTCCATTCCGAGGATAACGTCCCTCACACAGCTTCGCAAAACGACGAACTTCACAGGGCACGTCTCACCGTAGATCTCAACGCTAGCAGTGTACCTCTCGACTGGTGTGATAAGGTGCCTTCCGGCGGTTCGTATTTGAGGTCCATCCGACGGCGGTGTCACTTTTCGCAGACAGCAAGAGAGCCTCCAACTCAAGAGTGAGCAGTCTGCTCCGGTGTCCACGAATCCCGATGCGTCGTGGCCGTCGATGACTACGTTTAGGTTGTTGGGCACTGTTGCAGGAGCGTCGTTGCGATGCCTGGCGTCGGGACAGTGGGAGCGCTCCGGCGTTCTTGGAGGTTATTTACTTCGGTCGTCTTCGGCAACGCCACCTCCACGCGTTGCCGCACTTAGTTTTCCCGACGAGATAGGGGGACAGGTTGTCTCGCCGGGAGCGGCAGAAGGGCGAAAACGCACGTCGAGGCGAAGGCGAACGGGAACCTCGTGGTAGAGTCCGCACCGAGAAAAGGGGTCGTCGGAGGTACTCCTCGATGTCCCTTGGTCGCTGCCCAAGGCGGCGTCGCGAGTCGCTCGACGCAAAACCTCACAGGTTCATTTGTCGGTATGGGCACCTCCGGTAGATGTGGTCGACCTCGCTGCAGTGATAACACATCGGTCGTCGATCAGCCGTGTGCCACACATCCGTTTTCCTAGGCGCTGGTTGTTCGGTGCGGACGAGCTGGGGCTGCCCTTACTGAGGTCGGAAAGTCTGCGGTGCTTTTAGGCCACGTCGAGGTGGCGTTGAATACTGTCGGGCAGCTGGCGCCGTTCTCCGAGCTACTGCGGCGTAAGCCACAGAGGGCTCCTCGGGTGCTGCGCTCGTCGGAACCTCCAGTTGGAATGCCCGCTGAACTTCCTAGCGGACAACTTCGGCTATCGATAGCAAATCAGGCTGGTTGTCAGCAGGCAGGAGCTTATTGAGCTCTTCCTGCACGGCGTCACGAATGATCTCGCGGATGTCCGAACCGTTGCAGCTGGAAGTCGAGCGGGCAGCGACGCCGGGAAGTTGCTGGTAGTGGGAGACCCGTGCTCGAAGGGCACGTTCATTGTTTGTTGCCTCAGTGACAAATCCTTCGACGGTCGTTGGCGCTGTTCGCACAGGTTCTCCGAAGATTTTCCTTCACTCCCCGTATCAGGACCCGCAGCTTTTTTTCTTCGGAAGCGCTTGGATCAGCGTGGTTCATTAGGCGGAGAACGTCTTCGACGAAGCTTGAGACGCTCTCGTTAGGCCCTTGGCTTCTTGCTTGCAGACGTTCCTCGAACCGCTGTCGTCGCTGCTGGCAGGCAAAGGTGCATTGAAGCTCGGCCTGGAAGTCCTCCCACGACGAAATCGACGCTTCGTGGTTTTCGTACCAAGGGCGGGCCGTGCCTTCCAAAAAGCGAAGTAGACGTTCCGTTGGCTTTGCTCGGCCCGCCATTCGTTGAACCGGGCAACGCGCACGTACTGGCTCAACCATCCTCATCTTCGTGAAGGTCGCCATGAAAAGACGCCGGCGTCAGCGGCGGGGCCTGCACGTAGATGGTGGACGTCGGTGGCGTTCCGTCTTGCTGCGTCGTGGCGTTCATCGTCGGCGTCTTCTTCTTCCTCGGCTGCTCTGATAGTTGACTGAACTCCGGAGGCTAGAGTTGGTTGCGGCGACTGGCTCGAATCTCGGGTTCATCAACGGGGATTAGTTTTCCGGGACTTGAAAAAGATCGGGCCTGACAGATCTTTTGCGGGGCACGTTTCACGGTCGTGGAATGCGGTAAACCGCACCTCCACCAAAAATATCACAAATGACATTCGATGAGGCGACGAATACTAAAGCAAACAAAACGTTTGCTTTAGAGGGGAGAACTAATGCCCAAAACAAATTAAAAAACAGCTAGCGTCGAGGGCGTCGATGGCGGCGAAACAGCAAGATCGAACGCTGGGGCGAGACTGACTCCGGCCCGCAACGCGGAGCCCCTTATATACACGCGTTGGGTTTCGGAACAATCAGAGCAGAATGTTCTGAAGAAACGACAACAACGTTCTCGAATTCACCAGAATGCAAAATTCACAGAAATAACAAATAGGCGCGTCCCCTCCCATGGCATCGAACCTCCAGCCCTTTGCATACGAGCATAGCCTCATCTATACTCACAACGCCTGGTAGCTCGACGACGGAGCCATAGAGCGCCCGGTCGCAGATTTGGAGCGCGACGGTCTGGTAGCACAGAGAATTTCTCGGGGAACCTGGTCGTCAGTGTACAGCTTTTTCAGCGGCGAGGACCCGAAACATGGTTTTGCAACCCGACGAGATAAGAAGCGGTATCTCGAGGAACGCGAGGAGCACGAGCGGACATCCTGCTTCTGACGGACTCTAAACAGGTCGATTGTAATGTGAGAAGAAAAACAAACAGAACCTCGTGAAGAACTAAGAGTTTTATTTGTATCGACAACCCACTTTTTCATCACCTCCTCCAATGAAATGTTACCTTTCTGGAGGACGAATTTGATGATCTCTGGAGATGTGACAGGCTCTGGCAGCTCCCAAGGCTAATTTATCTTAAACTTGCTAGCGGTTGAAAATCCCATAGTTAAGGTTTCGATCTACAAAAACGTTGGACCCACGCGCTCTATATCCTGTCCGCTGCGCCAAATTATGTAACGTTAAAAAAAAGTAAAAACGCATTTGTCATTAGAGAGTTTTATCAAATCGTTCCCATGACTGCGATAACGATACCCTATATTCCGCCACCGCCTCCCTTGAGCATGCATAGTGTCGTTATCGGGGCTATCGGAGGTATCGGAACGATCTACTAAAACTCTCTATCATCTTAATTCCATTTTTAGATAATATTCTCTCTTTTTTCTTTACTATGTTTGGCGCTACTTCGTCTTCTTTCTCTTTTGGGCTTTGCTCACTTTGAGCGCTTTTTATGCGCCCCGGTTTTAACACTTCCAGCTCCTCACAAACTACCAACTGTATACAGTCGGTGACAGGTCATGAACAAAGTGGAAGCTCCTCTCATCTCGTTCCACTTTAGCAGAGCGAGTGCTGGAGAGGAGGCGATCTCCTCTCCAGCGTTCCCTCTGCTAAAGTGGAAAGAAATAGGAGGAGCTTCAACTTCGTTCTTGATTTTTGACCGCCCCCCTCCCCGCAAATCCATCTCGTAGTGAAACGTGCTCGGCGACGTAATCCTTTAAGCCGGAGTCACACTGGTCACACCATCATACGAAAGACAGTCTGCAAACAGGAGTTACCGCAATATCCGTGGTTCGAATGCCGCCTGCCAGGTTTTCTCGGACTCGCTGTCATGTGGCATTCGAAGCACGAACATCGCGGTAACTCGCGTTCTAATTTCTATGCTGACTGTCTTTTGTTTCGTGTATAACTCGCTGTCCCCAGCTTTTGGAGGCTCGAGAACTTTTCCACACGACCACTTGTCCAGGAACACATTAATTTATCCGGAAGCATACTCTTCGTAGCGGGCGAACTCGGTCACCACGAGCGTATGTGCGATCCTCCACCACCCATGCGGGCAGGCAGTTAACAAAATTAATCGGCACCAAAAATATGCTCACTCGCTTCAGAGTTGACACTGGGCTGCGGCAAGAGGACAGTGGAGGTCAGCAGCGTCTTGATCTCCTTGATGGACGTGATGATCTGGATGCAGGTGCCGTTGGACTGGTTGCAGCTGTGGCCCTCCGGGCAGCAGTGCCGGTGGTCACTGCAGCACACGGCCAACGGGTACGGGCAACAGCCGTAAAGTCCGCTGCTCTGCGGACAGCAGGTGCTGCCGTCCGGGCACGCACTTCCGTTGGGACAGCGCACGAAACACACCCGGACACCTGCACGACGTCCGAATTCAGATGCGTCTTGTGAACCTTAAATCCGCGGTCTTATACTGATAATACACCGTACTAAAGACTGTCTGCAGACTCTGTCTGATTCGTGTTACTTCCGTGTGTGATGGAAGTACTTCCGTGTACGACGGAAGTAACAGTTTTCATTTCGGTACTGTCGGAATAAAAACTGCAGGAGTTTCAGTCATCCCGCCTCCGGCCACCAACATCACCTTGAATATTCGATGCCTGTGCACTGAGATGTTTGACGTCATCACAGCGAGATCGAGCGAAAGGCACTGATTGGATACGATACGAGTGATGCGTCAGAGTTCGGCTTGGCCTCGTGTCCAATCAATGCGTCGAAGGGCATTCGGCGTCGGGCCCCATTGCTGAGTTGGCGCCATGCAAATGGGATGAGCGTATACGTGAAGGTTGTGTGAGAATTCTTGCCGATCTCTCTTTCCAGACAGCCGTGAGCACGATCGTGAGTAGGAACGCTCGGCCTGCTTTCAATGCGAGCTCCGACCTCTTAGTGAAGCGGGGGGGGGGGGGGGGGGGGGTCCTGTCTTGTAGGGCCGTCTCCTCACTCTCTCGAGGCAAGGACCTCCTTCCGCCCCTGGCAGGTAGGAAGCTTGCCTTACCTTGGGCCGGCGCAGGGGGAGGGGGGGGGGGGGGTAATTTTGGAAGGACACAAATTGGCCATTAAGAGAGTGCCATGAACGCTCTTAGGGTCTGTCCTTACTCTGGTATACGTGCGTCTTCTCCTCTCGAAGCGGGCGCATACGGCGTGATTCTCGCGAGACACTCGCTGCGCTACGCGCCTCACTTTTTTTTTTTTGTTTTTTGTTAAACTAGTGTACATATAGCCTACGGTACTACGGTGCCTCCGCTAGCCTCCGTAGCTCCGCTTTTCCTCCGCTAGCACTGCCTCGTAGGCAGTAGTGGGATCGCTCTAGGTGACGGCAACCAAACGCTAAAGTTGCTCTCACCGGCATTGAACACGTTCGCGGTAGTGGCGGCAACGGAACAGCCGCTGCCGCCGCGAACATGGAGAAGGATTTTTTCTCCCTTTTGCAAGCGCCACCAAGTGGCGCTGCATGTGAATCGATGAAATGAAGGAACGGGAGCAACTCCCTTCCTTCCGTTGGCGACAGGGAGGAACATTGTTTTTTCCTCCATTTCTCCTTTTTTTAGAGTGCAACATTGGCCTTTGTGAAGAGGCTTGTCAACACCCGTTTTAGTGGCTTGGCATGTCGGTAAGGCAAGAGAGAGTTAGCAATGGCGGTTGTAATCTGGCGCATGTCTAAATCGTCTATGTACTCAAGGCTCTATATCTCCCTAAGTACAAGCGAATCCGAAGGCACGAGCGCAGTGGTTTCAAGGCCTGCCCCTGTCGTCACACCAACTTCCATTCTGGAGGCCCTGGCCCTGTGGTTTTGCAACGTAAACTGTACTATCATTTTCGTTTTTGTTTTGTTTTGTTTTGCAAAAGGAAGCAGAGTGAACACCGGCGTGGTGCAAGGACGTTACGTGGGAGCCATGTGAAGCGATAACTCGGCCGAACTTTCGTATCCTTGCCTTTTGAGCCACGCGACGTCCTAGGATCAAAGAACTGAGTTGGATTACCACATTCAGGTATAGTCACGAATTCATCGTCAACACCCGCCATGGTTCACGCAGATACCAAATGTGAAAAACTTGGCATTTATAGACAGATAGTTGATGAAATGTAATATGGCCCGAGCCCTGACGTCAAAATACGCCACAGCGCTTTTTTTTTTTTTTTTGCTTTTGTTTTTACAAATAAAAGATGGGCCAAAAAATGTCTGAAATGTGAAGCGGCTGATAGAAGCCAGGGAAGCCAAGCCAGCACTGTGAGTTAAAGTCCCTGGATAAAAATCACGCTAGGCGTTCCTCAGAAGAACCGACAACCAGTGTTAGAGAATGCGAGAGTGGCGCACCACGAGACCGCGAGCGAGAGCCGCAACGCAGTTTCCTTTCAGGGGCCGCATATTCTAATACACTGTACCATAGTCGCACATTTCAGTGCTGCGTCACCATTTGCTTCCAAGCGTCGCACGAGGCACGAGATTGTGCATTGGCACATTTGATGATTTCATGACGCTTGCAAGACATACAAACAGATCAAGGGGCTTTACTGAGGGCGTGTGACCGGGTTACGTGGCACATTCTGTACCATATTCGCGCGGCGCAAAGACACAGCACGTTGGAATGAAATAATTTTGTTATACATAGGATGCCTCTCATTGGTCCTGTTCTTTTTTGTTTTTTGTGTTTTTTCTGTGTTCTGCAGCAGACAGATATCTCACACAGGCCATTCTCCTGCAAAACTGCAAAACTGCTCTCGGCGGTACCAAGCAGAGACTTGTGCCGCGAGTCGCCGTATGTGCGAGCTCGTGAAAACAGCAACAACAACAAATGCTCTGGCTTGGAACATTTGGTACTGGTTTCGCCATCTTGCTGAGCCTATTGAATCTGCAGGGTGATTCAAGGAGAGGCCAGGTTCTTTAAATCGATCGCAAAATTCGGTTTCTTAACCAATCGCGCTACGACTTTGTGCAGCGTTGCCCACAGGTGGTGCATATTTTTTTTTTTTTTTTGTAAAATTTGCAAAGGGCGAACTTACCTGAGGAAAAAGTAAAGAAAGAAAATGAATTAGCTCCTATGGAAACGCAGCGAAGCCACCGGTCTGCAAACAACACGGCGCCGTTTCGCACGGGAGACAAGAGATGGCGCAAGCGGTCGCGACGCCAACTGCCGCCAACGAACGAGCATACGACGTCAAGAGCCGGCGTCTTTAGCACACAAGGAACTGCAGTTCCTTGTTGTTACCGCGCCTGTTTTTGTTTCTGCGATTGTCGCCGCCTGCTGAACGCGCGCCACTTTTGGGTCGAAAAGATCGTCTGCTAAAGTCGCCGGCTCTCGGCGCCGTATGCTCGTTCGTTGGCGGCGTTCGTTGCGCCATCTCTTGTCTCCCGTGCGAAACGGCGCCGTGTTGTTGAAGACCGGTGGCGTCACTGCGTTTCCATAGGAGCTAAGCCTTTTTCTTTCTTTACTTTTTCCTCGGGTAAGTTCGCCTTTTTGCAAATTTTACGAAAAGAAATGCGCCATCTGTGGGCAACGCTGCACAAAGTTGTAGCGCGATAGGTTAAGAAACCGAAGTTTGCGGTCGATCTAAAGAGCCTGGCCTCTCCTTGAATCACCCTGTAAATCTAGCAAAAACGGCCCTGCCAAATTTATTCACACAAATACGCAAATACCAAAACATTTAGCCTTCCCGTAAAGCTCTTAAAATTAAGATAGAAGACATCTCTAGTACGTACTAACATACGTTTTGTCACTATTGTCATCTAAGTCATTTTCGTTTCAAAACTGCCTCAAAATGCGCTCAGAACAGACAAAATCGTAATACTTATGGATTTTATCAAGATCTCTAGCGCTCTAAGGGAAACATTCAAGGGTCGTACGACATTCATTACATCTTCATAATGAGCCCCGAAAACATTCAATACTCTGGTGCGTTCCTGAAACGCATGCGATTTGTGCAGCGAAATTTGCCGATTGAGTGTTAAAGCCGCATTCCCACGGCTCGTACAACGTACAAGCGACACGCGTTCGCTGCAGACATGATGCATGTTTCAGGCATGTTCTCTTTACATATATGTGGGCTTCGAATATGTGAGCAAGCAGTTTTTGTAGAACAAGTGTGACTGTGAACACGGTCATACAAGAAAAGAAAGCTCCTCGGGCAGTGTCTCAGGCTATCTTCTGTGTCATCTTAGTAGCGGTAGGGACGCGGCTGGTGAGTATATGATCAGAGCCGTATATGTAGAGAGTTTGGCCATTCTTTGGGAAGTATAGGAGACAAATGAGGAGGCGCCATTGGCCGAAAGCGGGCTGGGCGTGTTCCAGGGCGTCTTCAGAAATTTGAATGTGGCCAACCAGAAGCCGGAAATAATACCCCGGTGGTGGTCGCGAGAAACAAACCTTAAAAGTCCGTCGGAGTAACTCTTGGTGTCTGAAAATATGCTGCACGAGATGTTTCAATCACGGTCGTCCAGATTCATGGTGGACGAGTGCGACTAGCTGAACGATCGACGTAATCTGTACTCAAAGCGCCGAGAATCTGCCGTCCGAGCGGTCACACTCATTCCGAGCCCGAGTTGAGGGACACCATTCCTTTCTTACATCTTTCTTCATGATCATGATCGAAACATCACGTGCACCCTATTTTCAACCATGAAGGGTTACCACATTTAACTGTTACGCTCTTATTAAAACCATATACATATGATTAAAACTGTTTCTCGCTGCCACCGCTAGGGGATTCTTTTCGGCATCTGGTTGGTCAAGAGAGCATGTCAAGCCCTCTTTCAGCGTTTGGTGCACGCCCTGCATGGCTCTGCCCGCGCCTCCCATTGACCAAACTTTCTCTACACACGGCTTGCATAGCGCGCAGGTGTACGGCATCGCGTCAACGCAAAACTAAACCAGCTAAGTGGCTTCGAGCTATGGTTTTAATAGGCACGCCCTGGGAATACGAAACCGCGTAACGACCAGATTTCCGAGATTTCGACAGAAGGGAAGTTTAATGCAGCGTAATTAATATATTGCTTTTTATAAACGTTAGAATAGCTCAAAATTTAGTTTACAACGTTAAATTTCGCTGTTTATTTTGCTGAGTGTTTTCAGTCTTCGCGAACACTATTGCGACTGTCGTCCTTCAGCTAGCAACATTGGTTTCTTTCTCTCGTGTTCTGTCGCGCCCTTTCGCGATTTTTCATACTGGACTCCAGATGTCGGCGCACAGGATTCGCCGTTCCTCCTCTCACCCACCTTTACCCTCCTGGACACTATGGACGAAAGCGTGATCACGTGACGAAATATGGACGTTTGACTGGTCCAACGAGCTCGCAACTTCCGCCGCACTGTCAGCTTAGGGTCGAATAGAGTATACGTTCGTTTCGCACATGCTGTTTTGTTCCTTACGTAGCTTAAAGGGGCACTGACACCCCAAAGGTCGTATTTATTTTTATTGTCTAAAACGATGCAAGTTGTAGTCATAGACACGCAAAAAAAAACGCATCGCGAAAAAAAATTTTCCCGCGCGCGCGCGCGCCTTTTTATTTTTGGCGTTTGATTTTCCCGCCTCTCGCCTCCTCGCTCCTTTTGATCGGTGACGTCAAGAATCAGGAAATTTAGAAGCTTTGTAGGCGACATCTCTATAACATTTAATTACGGCAATCCTAAAACATGTTTTTTAACGCAATTGCGAACGCACTACGGCCCTTCTTTTTGAAATACCAAAAATCGGGAGTTCGTTGTGGTGCCGTCTCCTGGATTTGTATCCTCCAACGGAAAACAGGCGACACCGCTCAAAACCGGTCCGCCGGCGTTCGCTTGCGCTCGCTCCTTTCCTCCTCGCTTTGGGTCGCCATGGCAACATGGGCAACAGCAGGGAGTGGTGAAAGGAAGTGGACTCTCAGGTCTCCTCAATTTTTGACGTCAAGGCACCGGCGCCGATCGCGCGGGAACTTCGAATTCGGCATTTGGAAATTGTTTTTTTACTTCACGAATACTGAATTCCCAAATCTCAAATTTTGAGGGTAATGTCCCGGCATCGTTTTCAATCGTTTCGGATAATAAAAAAAAATATGATTTTGATGTGTCAGTGCCCCTTTAAAGGGACACTGACACCCCCCAAAAAATATTTTTCATTTTTTGCCAGGCGCTTCATCATGGTGTCGGAGGACTACCCAATTAATATTTTGCAACAGAGTAGAGTATTTTTTTAATAAAGCCAAAAGACGCAACTGCTCGAAACCGAAACCGAAACCCGACGGAGGTCGGAGAAGTGGAGAGAAGAGAGTGGAGTGGCGGAAGTCACGTGGCTACACCCGACCGTGTTTTTTTTTTTTTTTTTTTTGTCTCTCTTCTTGTAACAGACGACATGCGGCGTACGGGAACTGTTCGCTATGGGATTCTTTTGCAGTTATGTATGTTCCGCTCGTTGTTGTGTACTCCAAGATGAGTTGTTTTGTACATTGGGGAGTTGGAGATGAGTAGTGAGTGCCCGTGGTGAATTTTGATCGGCTCCGAAAAGAATACACCCACGATGTTGCGTGAAGAGCTGGCTCACATGTCCTGCGTCCGAAACAGAAGTGGCATTGTGCGACAGAGTTTCCGAAAGATCAACGGGATCGGGACCAATGGCTGGCTGCATTTCCTGTAGACCATTTACGGGCACCTCGGAAAGCGGACGCTACCTGATTTATATGCTCCTTGCATTTTGTGGAAAGTGATTACATTGAGTTCGCAGGTGTCAAAAAGGAAATCCCATACCATTTAATTCAGCGACGTGTCGTCCACAACATTTGTTTCTTATTATTTTTTTTTTGTTTCTTCAGTAATAATTGTAAAAAAAAAAAGAAAGAAATGTAAACATCAGAAAATATTATAAAAAAAGGTTTCACGGGGGATCGAACCCGGTCCTACCGCGTGTGAAGCGGACGTCTTACCCACTGAGCTACTGGGGCATGTCGATACTGGGGGATCTCTTTCCTTAGTAACAATTCAGCCGATAAACTGTAAGTTGGAAAGTTTGCTGCCGATTTTTCTCTAGCAAAAGCACTCCAGGGTCGAAGTCGGGATGCACCACGCATTGGCGACATTCTCACCTAGTAAAGAAATCGTACGCGTGCATATTCAACTCGAAGTAGACACGTCGCGCTTGACGTTTGCGCGAGCGATGTCTTCAGCCACAAGAAGGGAGTGACGGCTCGGAGACGTCTTCGTGCAAATCGGCTTGGTGGTCGGGCGTGTCGTACGGCATGAATACCAATTCTTTTGAACAGTCCCAAATTTCTCTTTTAAAGGCGGACAAAATTCGCCGGTACCGCGAACGACAGTTCTGAAATAGAGGTCCCACGCCCGTCGTCCGCTGCCATCGCCGTCCCCGCGAGTCCCACGATACGCGAAACGACGAACGCACAGAATGCTTCCGGTTGTCTGTGGAACTTTTTTTTCAATCAACGTATTTGCAGGTTTTTAGAAGCCACAAAAAATGGGTTTCGTATTTTTTTCTATTTTTAATATTGAGTGTGTCCCTTCAGTGACCCACGACTTTGATTAAATTTGGTGGTCGCATCGATACCTTAGAAAACGGCCCGTGACCGCGGAAAAGAGAGTGAGCGAGACTCGAACCGGCCAGTTCTTGATCGGCGGTTTTCGGGCGGAAAGAAACCGAATTTCGAGCCGCAAATTCTGTTCTGGGTAGTTGAGCTCTCATATGTCACGTACAACTAAAAACCTCGGCGAGCATAAATACCCTGTCAGTGTCCCTTTAAGCCTTCCCGGAAAATATTATATCTACATTGCCCGGTAATACATCACTAAACCTGTTAATGTGGCAGGTTCAGTGGCGCTGGAGTGGTCAAGGCCTAGCTTGATATACAGTAAATCATGTTTAAAAACGCGCTGCTTCACGTTTGACGAGGAAAAAGGCTATGCATGGTGAGGTACTTACCGTGAGTAAAGACCACCACAAGGGCCAGAACGACCATCACGCCGCTGGATGTCATGGTCTCTAAAACACGGAAGACCAATCAACTTGCGTCACGGGATAACAAATATGTCACAAAAGCTGTTACAGCACGTAAATGGTGTTGGAGCGAGTCACACGAGAAACGAAATGTGTCTACCTAAACTTGTATTTTTTTCCCACGCAAGATAAAGCCCATACCTCCGCTGCCCTTGGATACGTGCCGCCAGGCGTTGGGTTCTAACATGTATAAATATTAGCTACAAATGTCCGTCTTTTTTTTTTTTTTTTTTTTTTTTTTTTTTTGCAAAAGGGAACATAAGGTTTTAAAGAGTTCGGTTAATTCGTAGTCTTTCATGCGACCAACGGCGCAAATTATACCTGTGCCACACGGGCAACTCGAATGCCATTTACAACGAATGACATTTGTGTGATAGGCGAATCAGCTCGCAATCTGTCGTGCGTAAAATGCGCCGCGCCCGGAGTGTCCCGCGCTGATTGGCCGTCCGCTCAAATGTCATTCGTTGTAAATGGCATTCAAGTTGCCCGTGTGACGCGGGTATTAAACATAGATGGGAGCTGACAGTGACAGTACTTGGTCCTGACTACTATGCTCCTCCTTATAATTTAAATTGCTATAATTGTACCATAAAAACGACTTAGGAACTTCAGAAAGATCGCAACTCCAAGCTGCCGCTCGCCCCCTCGCGGACGAACGGAGAACCAGCGGGGGCGGTGGCAGGGAGTGTCGGCCTTCGTGCCTTGGTGCTGCTATTACCGCGTGCTTCTGCTCGGCATGTTCGTGCGTGAATCAGTTTTAACTAAAAAAAGTGAGCGCCCTGAAAGAGGAATTCTTCGTATATCGCATAAGCTCCGGATTTCTGGTTTTGTGTTCGTCAGCTCAATCTGTGTACAACGCGATGGCAAATACACCCGCTAGTAGTGTAGAGCTAAAGCGTATGGTCTACGAAAAGTTTATTCTCTGTTTTAAGAAGGAGAAAACTGATCGCGCAACATGTCAAGCAAATAGAGATCGAGAAGGTGTTCGCATTTTGCCGTTGCAAGGGAGATGTCTATTTGCTCCCAGCACTTTAAAAGGAAGGGATCTAAAGAGGTTCTTGGGAAAAACAAAAAAAAAAAACAGTTAGAGGTGAATACTAAAGTATTTTTATCCCATGAATCTGAATATCACGCTCGTTTTTCCCGGAGATGTAACTAAACGAGAGAAAACACGAAAACCCTCCGATTAGTCGTTACGTTAATACACGCAGATCTTCTCGCCGCCAAGCGCGTGTCGCTCTTTTGGACAGCACGTGCAATTCTAAGCTTGCTGCAGGTATATAGATGCTTTGCAGCAGCTGTGCATGGACGCCGCCATAACTGACCTTCAGTTTTTGTTTCCTCTTATTCCGTTTATTTCACTTCATCATTACCATAGCAGGACACGTTATTGCCATATTAGATTCAACTGTGTCATTTTCTAAAGCCTTTGTAGAGGACCGTCAACTACCGTTTCAGTTGCTCGGCATTTCGGTAAGACAAGAGAAGGTCAGCAATGGCGGCTGTAATTTGGCGCGTGTGTAAAGCGTCTATATTCCCTCGCACTGACACCAGTCGTGACGTATTTTTCTGGCTTTTTTTTAAAATAACAAGAGTGCGCGTGCCTATAGCTTTTATAGACGCTTTCAAGCAGCTGTGTATAGGCACCACCATAACCGGCTTCAGTTTTTTTTCCCTCTTATTCTGTTCGCTCCACTTCATCATTACCACTGCAGGACAGGTTTTTGCCATTTTAAGTGTTACTGTGTCCTTCTCCCCAGAATAGGCCTTTGTGAAGACTCGTCAACGCCCGCTTCAGTGTCTCGGCCTCTTGGTAATACAAGAGAAGGTCGGCTATGGAGGCTCAATCTGGCGCACGCTGAAAGCGTCGCGCTGAAGATGCTAGAGAGCGGCTGAGATTTCGAAAACTCTATGTATACGACGTCACGCTCCGTGAAGTAGGGGATTCAGCGGTACTTTAAAACAATTTTTCTGTAGCCTCCGTGCACCAAATTTAAAAATGATCTCAATATTTGTGATCCTGGAAGCCAAATGAAGACGATTGAAGTGTTTTCTTTTTCTCAAATACAAAACCACTTGAGTTTCCCGTTAAAAAGACAGAATACGCGTACTCGTCTTCAAGTAATCACAAAAACAACAAAACAACAAGAATGCTCGATGCATCTTAAGCACGTCTGTGTAGCTAGCCGTTTGCACGCCGTTCCAAAATTAGAACGGGCAGTTTTGGCGGGGCGAGTCGCAACGTTGACGGTCACCGTGTCCGACCCACTTTCTAGAGCACACCACAGTATCTTCATCGCCCTCAACAAAATGTTGCAACAAACAGTGACGTGGCCGCTGACCAAAACGCGCTCGCCTTCCACAAAGCTTCGCAAGTTGAGGTTTCCGAAACTTTTAAGTATCAACATGCTCGTTTTCCTAACGCACATCAACATCCCCTTCACCTGTAACATGCTCCTACCCTGACCGCTTTGTATTTGTAGACAAATAAAGTATTTTTAGCGCACTGACTAGCGTCACCGAGCAGGCGTGTGCCAGAGATCCATGGAGAATCTATCCCCGTCTCTCCCGCAATCTTGGAACTACCGCCGTGCCATCTATAGGGCGTTGGAGTTGCGAATACCTTACCACAAAACCTGACGTGACAGTTCTAACGTCAAGCCAGAATCGAAATGATCCTTAGGGCTCAACGATCCAACTACCCTTTCATCGCCACTCTGAGCTCCCCACCTACATCGAGAAGGTGTTGACAGCAATTCCCCAAACAAGCTATATATATATTTAAAAAAAAAACTATTACTCACGGCGATTTGACACCAGCGAGCAGTTGTTGTGAAACGGGATGAACACAGCTCGAGTCCAACCCACGACAAGCGCGTTCTTCTCTCTACTCGTTGACAGACAAGGCAGACGAGCGTATCTTCTACTTCTCTCTCCGCGTCTTTCATCTCCTCTCACGCCAATCTCCGCGCACTCTTCAGCGAGTCTCCAGGAGGGAATCCCGACCTCAGCTCTGCTGGGAGCTGACTCGTATCTGTATTAGTGTCGGGTTCCAATTGCCGGGTCAAGTCGAGCAAACCTTTTTTTGTTTTTAGGTTTTGGGTCGGGTGAGGAAAGTCGAGCAATCTAAAGTGTGCCGTACCCAGTGTCTGGACACTGCCAGTTTTTTTTACCATCCGTGATTCTATTGGAGACGCAGATCTCATCTAGATCAGGACTCGAACCAAACATATTAACGGTTCGGTTATGGTTACAGTTATCGTTATATTTATATATTAGATTTTGTTTGGTATTGTTGTTACGGTTCCGGTTTTTTTTTATATACATATATATTTCGGTTACCAGTTAAGCGTAACTCAAAACCACCTTCTTTTAGTTCCAAAAAAAAAAAAAGAAGAAAATCAAGAAGGAAAAGCTGGAAAGTGAATGGTTGCTGGGTGCTACTCCCTAACTTTAAACCATCTTCCTCCTCAGAAATTTGTCTCGATGCTCGATACTTGATCCCTAATAAACATCATCAAATAACCCTTTAATCACACAATGTGTCGGCGAAACTCACTGTTACGAGTATACGAAAAGGTGGTCGTCTCCCCTGATCCATCGCGTTATCTCAAATCCTTTCTTGTACACACACACACACGCACACGCACGCACGCACGCACGCACGCACGCGCACGCACGCACGCATACACACAAATGATTTCAGTTCGATTTAATAATTAAACAAAACTGTGTCTAATATATTTGCTAGGACTATACAAGTTTGACGGGTCGAATGCAAGAAATAATTGGCAAACACTCCCGGGGGCCCCAGGCCGGCCGCAGGCTCGCACTCATGACACACGTCTCCCGTCTCGCTGGTGAAACATCCGAGTACCTCTCGCGCGTTGGGACGGGGAGGGATCGCATGGTCTCGTATGGGGACATACTGAATCACTACAGATCGGAACGGGCCAAGTATCCCCCTGTTCACAAGACCCTGAGCAAGTGGCGGTCGGTAGCCTGGCCCCTCCTGCAAATTTCAAATAGGTTCCCTAATCCGGTCATGTGCAGTCACTATAGTCGGTTACAAGTTAAGAAGGTAGGAGAAGCTCCTCCCACAAGCGTGATGCGCCCGTTTCAAATCTCTCCGCAGTCGAAAGAAGAGTTTATTGGAAACGCTCCTTGTTCCGCTTCAATGGATTCCAACTTGTCTCCGATCCCACTTTTTAAAGGACCCATGAAACGAATTTGGGGCTGGAGTAAATCAATTTATATTGGGACTTTACTAATAGCACATCGTTCAGTGGGCCAAAAGAACAAAGGTAGAAAGTCAGAAGCCTGACTTTCGCTACGAAAATTTGCAAAACATAGCGGACTATTTCGTACCTCCTTCCCTTCGTAAACTCTCCGCCTTTTGACTGTGATACATCCGCGGACCCCGCAGCGCGTCACCGGGCTACTATAGTCGGTTACAAGTCAAGAAGGTAGGAGAAGCTCCTCCCACAAGTGTGATGCGCCCGTTTCAAATCTCTCCGCAGACGAAAGAAGAGTTCACTGGAAACGCTCCTTGTTCCGCTTCAATGGATCCCCACTTGTCTCCGATCCCACTTTTTAAGAAAGTGACCTTTGTATTCATCGGAGAGGGAACCGAGCCCCTGAAAGCAGCCTTTGTATCCATCGGGGGGGAAGCTGATCCCCGAAAGCCGTATTTGTTTCCGTCGGTGGGGGAGAACTCTAATCTCCCTGTCGTGGCTTCCACAATGCTAAGTCAAAGTCGAAAGATAAAGCAAATATGTACAGAAAGGCAAGACCCTCCTCGCGCGTTGTCCGCGACGTCAGGGAAACGGTGGGACGCTATTGGATGCAAAGGTGGCGGAGGGATATATGATTCCCTTTGAGGGGCATTTGCCGCTACCTTCTTAACCTGTAACTGACTATAGCCACCATAACCGGGCCCCCGCAGCGCGTCACCAGGACGCAAGCGCACGTCACACAACACCG